ACACACACACACACACACACACACACACACACACACACACAGAGAGAGAGAGAGAGAGAGAGAGAGAGAGAGAGAGAGAGAGAGAGAGAGAGATTTCATAGTTGTACCTTTCTATCACGCAACTTGTGGGGAGGTTGCCATGCCTGTCGCCTGCGAGGAACTGAGCTTGCTGCGCTTGAAGATGGCGTCGATAAGATGGCCTCGAGCTGATCGATGGAAAGGGAAAGACTTGGATGGTGATGACAATGATGACCGTCACGATGATGATGATAATGTCGTGAGGGTGTCATGGTTTCGATCTCATGATTATTTATTGATGATGATGACGACGATGACGATGATGATGCTGATGATGATGGTATGATGATGGTATGATGATGATGGTGATGATGATGATCGTGATCATGTGATGATCATGTCGTGATGATGATGATGATGATGATGATGGTAACGAGGAGGAGACGAAGGATGCGGAGAATGGCCAAGGTCGATAGCGCGGTAATCAGTCCTGACCGTACGGTCGATTTGCGCTTTCAGCGAAGCAGGATGACGACACAATTTTTAGACGAAAGGGTTAAAGACGACGTCTGGCGGTGCCTTCCTGATGATCGATGACCGGTGATGATGACTCTCTCTGTCTTCTCTCTCTCTCTTTTTCTCTCTCTCTCTCTCTCTCTCTCTCTCTCTCTCTCTCTTTTTCTCTCTCTCAAGAAGATAGTTCAAACTTCAGGAAGGTTTTTATCTTTATTTTGTTGTTTTCCTTTTCTCTCTGGAAATTTTTGTCTTTTCCTATGTTACTTGTGTGGGATATGAGGCTGAAACTGCGATTCTATTCGAATGAGGTCCACTCCTACACAAGCTTTTCTTTTTCATCGACTCGCCGCATCGTTGGGAAAAGAACAAGGGAGAAGGAAAGGGCTGCAGCAGCACTTCCACGTTTAGCAGCATCCAGGGGTAAGGAGAGGGGAGAACGAGAGGGAGGGAGAGAGGGAGGGAGATGAAGAGAGCGAGGGAGAGGGAGGGAGGGATGGGGAGAGCGAGGATGGAACGGAGAGAGGGGAAAAAGGTCGATGGCTACTTCACTTCTGTTTCGTTTTTCTGTTTCGTTGGCGGTTGTCGGTTATGAGATCATGCATATTCCTTTAGTAATCTTCTCTGTTCATGCCTGTATTGCCTGTTCCTGCTCTCTGCTCTCCTTCCCCTCCTCGTCTTCCTCCCTCCTCGTCTTCCTCCCTCCTCCCTCCTCCCTCCTCCCTCCTCTCCTCCCTCCTCCTAACTGCCAATGCAGTCGTGTTTATGCGCATGATCGGGGTTCGACGGCTATTGGATGCAGCATTGTCATAAGCCGAGGCAGCAGCAGCAGCACCCCCACGATCCCAGTTTTGGCGCTTTCCCCCCCCCAACGCCGAAATGGGTATCTTTGGCGCCATCGGTCGGCAGTTCGCCGCGTGGAGTCCAAGATGGGCGCTGTTCCTCCTCCTACTGTTGTTCTCTTTGCAGCGCCCTGCACTGGCTGCAGAGGAAGATGATTGTGAGAAATTAGGGTTTACGGGCCTCGGTCTGTGTCGGGATTGCAACACATTCGCTGAATTTGTCAAGGACGCAGGTGCGCCACTGTTCCTCCTTTGCTCCCACTTCCTCCCCTCCCCCCGCCTCGTTCTCTCCTCCCAACAACCCCCTTCTCTCTCTCCTCTCCTCCTGCTCCTCCTCCTCTTCGTCTTCTTTTCTTTCCTCCTCTTTTACTCTCCTCCTCTCCTCCTCTCCCTTCTCATCCACTCATTGTCTCCGATTTCCCTCCTCTCCATTTCTCCCCCCCCTCTGCCCCTCCCCCTATCCTCTCTTCTTCTACGCCTTTTCTGGTTTCTCCTACCCCTTCCTCTGCTCAACCCCTCTTTTCCTCT